CCTAACAACAAATTCCTATAACAAATTTACAAGGAAATGTGTAGCAACCAGAGGGGAGAATTAGCAAACATATCTTGGGAGTTAAAGAATGAAGACGCAATTGCTTCGTTTTACGACCCTGTTTAAGATTAAAAAAAAAAAAAAGGCAAAACATCGTAACTTATCAACCTCACTCAGCTACCCTGACATACTCCAACAGACTATTGAAAATTATTCCTACAAAGTTAGTTAACACACAGTATCACACCAATTCTCACATTCCAGCCCAGAAAGAAACCTTGGGTTAAATATATGTAGTGGAATGAAACTCTTGGTTAACACATGTTGTCAAATTACCTACCAAGCGCTAAATAAAAGATTCATGACAAAGGAAATTTTACCATGTATGGTAATAAATACCAATTTTGGCGAAATGAGGTGTTTCCCCTTCTCCCCCAGAGAAGATAGATGGGAATGTGAATTGCACCCGAGTATATAGACACACATGATGATCGATTCAGTCAGACAGGCCTAGGGGCTGTGATATGGGCAGACCTTTTCTCCGCCACCTCTGAAGTCGAATTCCCTGATAACACATATAACTTTCTCTCTCAAATGCTTCATAATCTATTGCTTACCTTGTTTTTCGTTGGGCTCTTTCCTACATCTTGTTTTGATAAAGACTTCACTATAGAATCTTTCCCGCGCTTATTTTCTACTTTCGAAGCGCCTTGCTTCGCTGTCTTTCCAGAAGGGCTGAAGAACGATCGAATGTCCTGTAGAAATATATGTATGTACTAAAACACCTGTTAAAACACTGCCGCTGAGAACTAAAACGACTAACAAACCATGTTAGTATGGTGATCTGTTCACATCACTCTCTGACATTTCGCGGCATCTTTGAAACTCTCCTGTACTTCAGTCAGCGGTCACCAACCTAGCTAGCTTCCAGACTCCTGCTATTTCTCTTCCGCTAATTTTCCGAGAAAGACGATAGGTCATAAGATAACGATAATCTAATTTAAATTAACGGAACCAAATGAAAGGAGCTGTCAGACTAGGGAGGTTGAACCGCTTGCAGTTGCCCCGCTAGATTGCTTTGAAAATGGCAAATAGATCCGCGGAGAACACTTCTCAGGGGTACGTACTCTGTTGTGGATGTCGATATTTTCACGAATGACTGCGCTCGAGATTCGCGCACGCTCGTTCTGCGATTTGGTTGTTTCGTTGCGCTGTCGTCTCTTTGAGGTATATCGTTTATTTATTGAAAGATATTCAAACTCGCAACATGAAATTTGCAAAAAGTTATTAGTGGTTTTATGCGCTGTCATTCAAAAGCAATTTCATGCAATATAAAATGACTCTATAGAAAAAAATATGAAAATCTTTGTGGTGTTCTTTGCTGAATCTTCACTACGTTTGCGAAGAGATCAATCGTCTTCTGTATTTAAAGGAAGGACTGTGCCATTTAGCCATAAAATGCAAATTTATAATTCAAAATAAAATTCCGTGAGGCTGCAGCTGTGTAATTTACAAGGTGTCAAGCATCGATGTTCTTAGTCGATGAATAATTCGATTGCGTGACATGACACCTTCCCAGAAAAAATATCGCGTGATTAAAGTTGTTTCCAAGCATGTTTCTGATTCAAAAATAATAATAATAAAAAAGTTTTCGTTGAGGTTTCAGTGATAATAATGGTTGTTGTGTTATCATTTGTGTGATTTGTGGACTGAACTGACTGATATTTTTTTAAGATCGGTTTTTGTGCCAAGGAATTTCGGATTGCGTGTTCATTGCGGTTTGCAGATATTCTGTTCATTGGCATTTGGTTTTCAGTTTTCGTCAAAAATACTTGTCTAATGGGCTTTGGATTTGATCTGTGATGTGGATTTTCCTATTTGGATTCTGGTTTCTCTTCGACCAAAGCGGTCATTATGCGCCACAAAACTCCACAAAAGCCGCGAAACCTCTGTGTGCTCCACTTGTCAAATTAATCTTGTCGATTAAGGTTTTGAGAACTGGGATGTGAACATTTATATGTTTTGACGGTTTTGCGGTTCTCGGTTTTTGATCGAATTTTTGTTGTTGTTGTTGTTTTTTTGCGGTTTTGCGGATGATCTTTTTTTTTGGGTTTCTAAGAGACCCTCTCACGGATTCTTGTTTTGCAAATTGAAAATTTCTCTTTCTAAAATTACAGATCTTCCTTTTCGTTCTGTTCCGTGTCTTAAATTAGAGTAGGCCTTGTTCATTTATTTCTTCTGAAATTGTACGTGGATTCTTTTAATTTTTAATTTTCTTATTTTCTGGATACAAATACAAATAGATACAAATAGTCCTAGGAGGCAAGATAATCTGCAATGCGTTGAGGACATTTGAACTCTAAAGACTAACATTGATTTTAGGAGACAAATATGGAATAAATTTTATTTCAGAGACAATTCGTCGTTTTATTCGAGTGGTTCCGCCCTAAGTGACCGTTCCATACAACCCGAACAGGCCGATGGGACTCAGTCAAGGATGACCACAACCGCTTAATAGATACCAGCGGTGAAAAAGAAAATACATATGAGGAAAAAAATTTGGGAATTTTATAACGGACCGCTTAATACAGGTTCGACTATTCATTCCGAATAAGCCAATTAGCCGACGTGAAGAGCTCTATTCACCAATATGGTATATACTAAAAAACCGCTATAAATGTAAATGTTTCTTTTCAAGCTAGAGTTGGAAAGTCGATTCCCGGGTTAGTACACGCGCAGGCGATAAACACCAAACCAACAGCCCACGCAAAAAGCACCGTTCCCCTGTGTGATATATACTGAAAACCGCTGTAAGATGGCTAGATGGAGTAGGGCTATGGAGCACTAAGAGAAAGTCTAAGCAGAAGAAAGAAGCCTATTAAGTCCAGCAATTCTTCGGAAAAATTCTTATCTTTACCTTCTAAAATTGTAGCTCTAAGATTCTTGAGAACCCCACCTGTGATGCTAACCTTGAAAACACGTATATATGCACACTCCCCGGGGGGAATAAACGGGACCTCGACCCACCCCTCCCCCCTTCCCATGGCTCTTTCGTAAATGATTGTAATATATGCTATCGTCAGCAGCGAACTCCTACTAAAACATCTAAGTTGTCGCAGTTTTTTAGACCTGGGGTGAAGTCAGAATATCAGGGCTTACTGACTTTTTGGATCCGGTACAAGGTCTTTAAAGGGGGAAGGAAATTTATCCTTGCTCGCCTTCACTTCGGTGAATGTCTCGCGTTAGCTTCATTAAGCATCTCAGATGGAACATAAGAGGAATGGTACCGACAACGCTCTCCACATGACCGTCTCTCCCAGGTTGATCCTTACCTCCACGATTTTTTTATGGCTTGTTTTTCCCGGTTTTCATCACTCCTCAAAAACCAGCTCTCTACATTCGAGTTGCAAATGCCACCTTCTAAAACAGTTTTCATTTTACATCTTGCATGTCACCCAGTCGAGGGTCTCCATGGGGTTAACCGTTAGCCGTATATCGGCAAAAAAACTAGCTGTTAGGCGTAAATATTGACAAATTCGAACCCTTAGTTGTAGAAAAAAATTGACCTTAAAAATATTTCCTTCCTACAATGTGTTATTTTGTGTTAGTCTGCGTTAACCGTAGCAGAAAAATGGCAAAACTTATTAAGCGAATAAGACACAGGCGCGCTCACTACTTCAAACGACAAGAAATGGCTTATGCAGGTTGATGCAGAAATTTTCTTCACTTCGTTATTGATTTCCTCTTCCATTCCAACAAAATAGCAAGCGACTTGTTCTTAGATAATAAGTAAACAGTCTAATCGGAGAAACTAAATAAGATCATTTGGCTCCAACTTTCCAGCTCGTTCTGAGCTTCCTTCAATGCTTTGTAAGCCATAACTAAAATTATAAAATAAAACTTCTCGTTTCGTTTTGCCTTTGGGCGATTAGATTAAACAATATACTTAAAATGCATCGTTCTGCTTGTAAAAAATAACACAATTTATCGCATTCAAAATTAAAGGAGAAATCTCAGAAAATTAACTTACACCAAGACTAAATCCTCGCCATTACGGCTAAAATCTGTCATTTTCAGTCCAGATAAACCAAAGTCTGATCAGCAGAAACTAAACTAAAGTTAATCACAATTTCCATCTGACATAGACTAAGATAATCGAGCAATCGGACAACTGATTATTCTTCAATTCCTATGGAAATTCTCTACACATGCACATGACTGTAGTAGCTTTATATCGCTCATGAGACTAAACCAATTGAGAAAAAGTCTGTAAAAAAATATGGAAAACGTTTTCAGGACGTTTCAACTTCGACGTAAATGTTACGCCCAAATCCTCTCAGTAGAAAATACTAAGATTAAAAATAACTTCTCACATAGCTAGTCAAGATAATTTTAAGACATCATATGAAAACAAAAAACAAAAAACAAAAACAAACAGTAGTTTGAGAAGGATATCAAAGATTAAGCTCGTAAAAGCAGTTCAGACAAACAAAAAGGCAACTTTTGAATCAATGGAAATCTGTTCTCTTGTTAAACTTGACTTTGGCCGTCTTTTGGTTCTTCCTGCTTTGATGAAAAGAAGACTCTTGACAAAGGTTTCATCGGTAGCTTACTGGTTTCTGGTCCAAATATCAGCATTTGTAGGTATCCGAAAACTCCCTGGGATTCCAATGCTAACTGCCTTAACTGAAAAATAAAAGAATTTAAGCTTAGGGAGGATAGTTGAGTTGCTATGAAATATTTCGTAGCACATGAAACGATACATTGTACAACAGGATTGTTTTAAAACAAATTTGCTAATTTACTCCCATCATGTTTCCAAAATTATTGTATGATGATTGTACTGCTTCTCAGTTTGCGGAGAGAAAAATAAACTCGTAACCCAACTGAAAGGAAAATAACACGCAAGCATCACGGCTCACATACGAGCAAAGATTATGATTTCATGTAACTTTGTATTGAATAGAAAGTATCAACAGAATTATTACTTGCTGCAGCTTCTAAATCTCCTTGAAATCCAGGTTGACGTCGTCACCAATGAGTACAAATGGTGCCCACTGCCAAACCTCCTTGAACTTTTCAATTTCTCTCATACACTTCATGGCCTGATTGAGAGCTTCACTGGCCTTCTTGCCTTTGGCAAGTGCATCGTAGAAGAAACTCATGAACTCCAGGGTTCCCTCGTCGCCGATCGCCCACAAGGTTACCACAACAGATCTGGCACCGGCAGCCAAAAGTGCACGCGCCATGCCGACCACACCCTCGGCCATGACCTCCCCACGAGCAGTGTGACAGCAGCTAAGTACAACCAGTCGTGCTCGCAACCCAGCTTCTATGACATCTTTCATCGTCAGCAGATAGTCGTTCTCTTGGGGTTGAGGGTTACCTCTTGTGGTGTTTGGTGCCAGGATAACTTCTCCAGTTTCCATTTTACCGTGCGCTGCTATGTGAATTAAAGCCACTGATGTTATTCGTTTTAACACTTCATCTTTTGTTGCCATTTCTCCAGTTAGAGGGGAGACATTGAGTGTGCGTCCGATCATCTCCACTTCTTTCCTTGCTCCTGGAAGTTGCACCAAAAGTGTTCCCTCATAGATGATATGTTTGAAACATGGGTCGCCGACAAGCAATGCACCAGTCTTCATGTGAAAGTCAGCTGGACAATCATGAATTAGTTGCAAGGTCGTCAGAGAGGGAAGCACACGAATTCTGAAAGAATCACTTAGATATGATGAGTTGGAGTCCTGCAACGCTGCGTAAGGTACAAGGCAAAATGGCCCCTCAGGAACGAATGTTAGCTCGTTGCCTTCGATCAGATCAGCAATAGGAGTAATGATGATGTCATGCAGCTTCTTTAAAGCACTTGATTGGGAGTGCCTCACATCAACTCGAATCACATCATTGGCCACTTCCTCTTCTGTCGGCGAATCACGAGGAAGATTTTCGATTGTAACAGTATCTCTTACACCGATCTCCTTCAGAGAAGTTTTGTTCAGAAGCTGGATGAAACATTTCAATTCCTTCTCATACTTATAATTGTTCACGTGTACTTCTCTCATCTGGATATTATTTTCACTGAGGCAAACCCAGAGGTAAACGCATGGTCCATTAATAGCTATGAAAACTGTGCTCAGTGGAACCCACCTCAGAGAAATGCGGGATGCGCTGGGCGTTAAAGAATCTCCAGGCTGATATTTTGTGACCATAAGATCTCTCAGAGCTTGAGCACGTCCCTTCTCTGTGGCAAGAAGAGCCTTCACAACTTGACCTCGATTGAGATGTATACGCCAGAAACCTTTGTATGCTACTTGGTACTGATTACGATAAGAAATCTTCCACTGATCGTTGAGTTCAAGGCTGGCCCTGATATCATCATGCAATTCTACACTCGAGTAATAACAGTCAAAGGCCTTCAAAAGATTTCCTTGGCACTCGAAACTGCCTCCAAGGGAACAAAGTGAGCATGCCTCTCCGGTCTTATCTCCCACTTCTTTAGCAATTTCTAGATGGCGTTGAAGGTACTGGATGGCTGTTTTGAACTGTCCTAGACTGCCATAAGCGTTGCCGAGATTGGCATAACCTCTTCCCTCTCCGGCCTTGTCTCCCACTTCTTTAGCAATTTCTAGATGACGTTGATAGTACTGGATGGCTGTTTTGAACTGTCTTAGACCTTTATAAGCGTTGCCAAGATTGCCATAACCTCCTCCCTCTCCGGCCTTGTCTCCCACTTCTTTAGCAATTTCTAGAACATGTTGATGGTACTGGATGGCTGTTTTGAACTGTCGTAGACCTTCATAAGCGTTGCCGAGATTGTTATAACCTCTTCCCTCTCCGGCCTTGTCTCCCACTTCTTTAGCAATTTCTAGATCACGTTGATGGTACTGGATGGCTGTTTTGAACTGTGCTAGACATTGATAAGTGTTGCCTAGATTGCCATAACTTTTTCCCTCTCCGGCTTTGTCTCCCACTTCTTTAGCAATTTCTAGATGACGTTGATGGTACTGGAAGGCTGTTTTGAACTTTCCTAGACATTGATAAGCGTTGCCGAGATTCCCATAACTTTTTCCCTCTCCAGTCTTATCTCCCACCTCTTTAGCAATTTCTAGATGACGTTGATGGTACTGGATGGCTGTTTTGAACTGTCCTAGACCTCGATAAACGTTGCCGAGACCGCCATAAACTCTTCCCTCTCGTGCCTTGTCTCCCACTTCTTTAGCAATTTCTAGAGCACATTGATAGTACTGGATGGCTTTTATGAACTGTGCTAGACCTTGATAAGCGTTTCCGAGATTGCAATAACCTCTTCCCTCTCCGGCCTTGTCTCCCAATTCTTTAGCAATTTCTAGATCACGTTGATGGTACTGGATGGCGGTTTTGAACTGTCCTAGACCTTCATAAGCGTTGCCCAGATTGCCATAACCTCTTCCCTCTCCAGCCTTGTCTCCCACCTCTTTAGCAATTTCTAGATAACATTGATGGTACTGGATGGCTGTTTTGAACTGTCCTAGACCTATATAAGCGCTGCCGAGATTGCTATAACTGATTCCCTCTCCGGCCTTGTCTCCCTTTTCTTTAGCAATATCTAGATGACGTTGATGGTACTGGATGGCTGTTTTGAACTGTCGTAGACCTATATAAGCGTTGCCGAGATTGCCATAACCTCTTCCCTCTCCAACCTTGTCTCCCACTTCTTTAAAAATTTCTAGATCACGTTGATGGTACTGGATGGCTGTTTTGAACTGTCGTAGACCTTGATAAGCGTTGCCGAGATAGCTATAACCTCTTTCCTCTCCGACCTTGTCTCCCACTTCTTTAGCAATTTCTAGAACACGTTGATAGTACTGGATGGCTGTTTTGAACTGTCCTAGACCTTCATAAGCGTTGCCGAGATTGCCATAACTGATTCCCTCTCTGGCCTTGTCTCCCACTTCTTTAGCAATTTCTAGATGACGTTGATGGTACTGGATGGCTGTTTTGAACTGTCCTAGACCTTTATAAGCGTGTCCGAGATTGCCATAACCTCTTCTCTCTTCGGCCTTGTCTCCCACCTCTTTAGCAATTTCTAGATGACGTTGATAGTACTGGATGGCTGTTTTGAACTGTCCTAGACCTTGATAAGCGTGTCCGAAATTACCATAACCTCTTCTCTCTTCGGCCTTGTCTCCCACCTCTTTAGCAATTTCTAGATGACGTTGATGGTACTGCATGGCTGTTTCGAACTGTCGTAGACCTTGACTTCTTTAAGCAATTTTGATGACCGAGAACTGTTGACCTTGATAACGTTGCCGAGATTCCTGATTCCCTCCGGCCTTGTCTCCCACTTCTTTAGCAATTTCTAGAACACGTTGATAGTACTGGATGGCTATTTTGAACTGTCGTAGACCTTGATAAGCGTTGCCGAGATTGCTATAACCTCTTTCCTCTCTGGCCTTGTCTCCCACTTCTTTAGCAATTTCTAGATGACGTTGATGGTACTGGATGGCTGTTTTGAACTGTCCTAGACCTTCATAAGCGTTGCCGAGATTGCCTTGTCTAACTTCTTTAGCAATTTCTAGATGACGTTGATGGTACTGGATGGCTGTTTTGAACTGTCCTAGACCGGCCTTGTCTCCCTATGGCCTTGTTTCTTTAGCAATTTCTAGATGACGTTGATGGTACTGGATGGCTGTTTTGAACTGTCCTAGACCTTGATAAGCGTTGCCGAGATTGCCATAACTGTCCTAGACGTTGATCCCTCTCTCGGCCTTGTCTCCCACTTCTTTAGCAATTTCTAGATGACGTTGATGGTACTGGATGGCTGTTTTGAACTGTCCTAGACCTTGATAAGCGTTGCCGAGATTGCCATAACTTCTTCCTCTCTCCGGCCTTGTCTCCCACTTCTTTAGCAATTTCTAGATGACGTTGATGGTGGACTGGATGTCTGTTTTGCCGAGAACTTCTTTCCTAGACCTTGATATGGTACTGGATGGCTGTTTTGAACTGTCCGAGATTGCCATAACGTTGCCGAGATTGCCCTCTCCGGCCTTGGTTGTCTCCCACTTCTTTAGCAATTTCTAGATGACGTTGATGGTACTGGATGGCTGTTTTGAACTGTCCTAGACCTTCATAAGCGTTTCCGAGATTGCCATAACCTCTTCCCTCTCTGGCCTTGTCTCCCACTTCTTTAGCAATTTCTAGATGACGTTGATGGTACTGGATGGCTGTTTTGAACTGTCCTAGACCTTTATAAGCGTTGCCGAGATTGCCATAAGTGTCTCCCTCTCCGGCCTTGTCTCCCAATTCTTTAGCAATTTTTAGATCACGTTGATGGTACTGGATGGCTGTTTTGAACTGTCGTAGACCTATATAAGCGTTGCCGAGATTGCCATAAGTGATTCCCTCTACGGCCTTGTCTCCCAATTCTTTAGCAATTTCTAGATGACGTTGATTGTACTGGATGGCTGTTTTGAACTGTCGTAGACCTCGATAAGCGTTTCCGACATTGCCATAACCTCTTCCCTCTCCGGCCTTGTCTCCCACTTCTTTAGCAATTTCTAGATGACGTTGATGGTACTGGATGGCTGTTTTGAACTGTCCTAGACCTTCATAAGCGTTGCCGAGATTTCCATAACCTCTTCCCTCTCCAGTCTTGTCTCCCACTTCTTTAGCAATTTCTAGATGACGTTGATGGTACTGGATGGCTGTTTTAAACTGTCCTAGGCTTTGATAAGCGTTGCCGAGATTGGAAGAACTGTTTGCTGTGACTATTAGTTCAGCATTAGTTTTTCTTAGCAATTGAAGCAGATGTTTGTTGTTATTTTCAATCTTGAAACGTGTCAAGGGTCGATAAATCATGAGCGGGTTTGCGAAAATGCAGTCAAAATGTGTATTTAAAAAAAACCGTGAGAGTATTAGATAGAACCTTAAAACTGGAATGATAATTCGAATGTGGTTTTTTTTTTTAGAGATTTGATTTCAATTTAATGGAGAGTTTTAACTAGCTCTGAAGCGCATTTATTGGTTTAGGTTCGGTCGTCATGGTGGTGCTGGTCTGGAGACAAAAATGAGGGTATTCAGCTCAAACTCAGAGAATTAGTTAATATGGCCTCTTCTTTTGAGTAAAGTTTTGTGGAATAATCGAAAGAACTCTTTAAGAATATTTTAGCTTCTTTAAACTTCTCAGTGCAGTATAAGAGAACATTGCTTGCGTTATGTGTCCAAGAATCTCTCCAGAACGTATTGATTTCTCTTGGAATATTACTCGCAATGCATCTCGTATCACGTTTGAAACATTTGTTAAAGGATACGGCCAATCCCATATACAACCAGCTCCTTGCTTCTTTATACCAGCAAATTTCGACACAAGCTCTGGCTCCTGAAAAGGAGAGAATAATCGGTGGAGCGAGGTAATTGTTGTTGCACTGTTGAGGTATGAACGTATTGATAAAACGGACTTAATTTCTCATTTAGCTGGGAACAAAAATTGTGATAATGAAGGAAATTTGAACCTGTGGAAGAACTGAAAATGAACAATAAGGAGCTTATACAAAGCGGCTACCAATTAAGCTTCAATTGATGATGATAACGATAAATTTATCTCGCGCGTTCTTCATTTTAATGTGCTCTTATGCGCTTTTCAGCACTTTTCGGGCAGACTGCATTGAGCAGTATAACTTATGAAAGGGATCTTTTCAGGTTGCCTCCTTGCCAGGTTTTTTAACTTCCCCTGCTAAGAGTTACAGAGAAGATGCAGGAAACGGGGGTTACGGTTTTCCGTCCATATCCGGGACAAGAATATCAAACCATTTGCAGATGTCATTGCTAGGTGGCAGCACATTCTCCTCAGATATTTTTAGATCGAGTGTTGTTCTTGTCTAGTGCTTGAACCCTCGACCTTCGGCGCTCTACATCGTGAACTAACCAGATGGCGGTATTTGAGAGCTTATTGACATTTCCTTATGTTTTTTACCTACATAGCAGACATTGACACACCAGATACAATTGACACTTGGGGTGCAGTCACCTGCCACAAACCACAAAATCCTCTTTTGACGAAATGTTGATGGCTTATGTCTGAAAACCCACCTTTCTTAATAGCTTTGATTAAATTGGGTTCCAATTGAACAGCAACTGTTGCATCATCCAGACATTCCACGTAGTTTGCTATGACATTCAGGAAATGAGGTTTAAAAAAGTGGTCATCATATGCAATTGCAGCAAAGGAGCCTTAAAAAACTGCAATTGCTTAAAATGTAACGAGGATCATTTCTTTGCTTAATTTTCATCCGCTATATGGCAATTTATGTTTTCATGCTACTTTTCTGCAGTTGCTCAAGTTTTTTCTTTCCTTGATGCAGATTGTGTATTCCGTTACCTTGTAACGCTGCACGATAGATTTATATGTTTACATATGAAATTGTTACCCAAACGGAAATGAGCTGTTGCCCTGTTGCTGTAAAGCTTGGCGTTCAGTCGTTTATCATTGCAGTTCACTTGAAGTCCTTCCGTGTAGGAGTTTATGGCGTTATTAGCTTCTCCTTGTCTGTACTCTTCATTACCTTTCTCTAGACACACTTTCACTATTTCTGAAAACACAACGTTTTAGTGTTAATGATTTAGTAATGAGTGAAACGACCCTTGACAGATGATGCCAATTTTATACATCCAAACGAACTTTTAGGTTACAGGAGCTTAAAGTTATGAAAAAAAGATTAAGAAAAGTTTAATACCTGTACAGCTTGTTTAAGTAAAATGTATAAGCTGTTGGGAGTCTGGGCTGTAGCTTGGCTATTACCAGATCAAGTCTGTTCGGTTTACATTTTTTAGGTCGAGAGACTTTCCAAAAACCCTTTTTTACACCTGCGTTACGCTTTCCAAAATATCAAGTTAGATTATAAAACTCCATAAGTTGCTGAGAAAAATGCATAAAGCAAAGCAAAGTAAGGACCGAAAAAGGTTAAAATTTTTAATGTTCTGATAAAATGACAAAATGTCTCCTCTTTTCTGTAGAATTCTCAAATTGCGTAAAATTTCTACCAAACATGTATTGAACAGTAAAGGACAAGAAGGTGTTAGCGTAAATACTTTCCTTTTGGCGGCCTCAAAAAGTTACCCCTTTGCAAATTTTTTAAAACTCGACTTTGACGGGTCTACGGGTAGAAACAGCTCTCTCTTACCGAAAATGACTTTCATACTAAAAATGACCAAATTTAGAATACTTTCAAGTGCAAAAAGGATAATACTTTTTCTGTGCAAATATCGTTCATTTTAGATGTAAATTTTAGATACATCGTTAATCTCCATAACATTGTGCGTTGATTTACAAGTAAGCACTTCTAAAACTCAGAAGATTTATAGGCAAATTTTGGCCCATTCTTCTTAAACTTAGGGCTCTTCAAAGTTAAGTCTCCTTCAAATTTGTCGCTTTCTTGCTTATGAATAATTAATGATGTCTATGCATTTTACTTGATAGGATCGAGCAATAAATTGTTTTTTCCTTTGGTTCTCATTTTACTGGTAACAGAGTTTGAATTTGAAGAAACAATCTTTTACTGGTTCAAAAACTTATTCACAGAACATGCACAAATTTTGATGTAAATGTGACAAAATATTTACTGGGGCGTCTTTCAAACAATCTTATTTCACCTGGTTTTCTCACCTCTTAAAGTGTCATTGTATACATCCAGTTCAGCGTAACTTGACGTAACTTGACTTTCCTCTGTTGCTGAAATTACTAAGAAGATATTTCAACTTTGTTAGTGATCACAACTACGTGCCATTACAACTAGCGTTCTAATACTAGTGTATTTAGTGGATTCCTAGAACCTTCCAGTCGAAGTGGTCTAATAAATAGTACACCAGAATTAAGATATACTTAATTAACAAACAGTACAAAATCACTATAACTAAGTCTTTCCCTGTTGCATTTTCTCACCTGTAGCTGGAAACTCATTTTTCACTTCCAGTTCTTTTCCCGTTGTTGGGAGGTTGCTTTCTGCCATAGCTAGAAATAAAATTCAAACGATTGTACTGCGCTACATCCTTAATAATAAAAAAGAAGAGACTCGAATGAAAGTAAGCTAAAGAAAACGTTGTATACTTAATCACAGAGGAAGAATAAGAATCTCAAAGTCTCCTCCGTCACGCTATTGTGGTTGCGTGACAGCCCCAGTCAAGTTCCGCGGGTTGTCATGTTTGTTTTTTTAATGGTTTGTTTGTTTGTTTTCGTAGTCTCATCTGATGAAACGTCGTTCAAGGCTGTCCCTCATCAAAATACGTGAGTTGCAATAAACAACCTAGTTGTACCCGGTGGGCATGGATAGGCATGGATCAAAATTAATGCAATAAAAGACTCTTTCTCTCATTCCTTCATTTCATCGCGTGTGGGGCTGGGAGAATTCGCGGGTTTGCGTTACCGTCACGAATTCTACCAACATCCCGCGAGCCTATTGCGTAAAGAAACTCGTTTATCGACCCTGTTCCTCTACAAAGTGCATGTGTAAAATGCCCCTCAAAGCTATCGGAAATTGCTGGACAAAGTCTTTTTTAACAGAATTATAAGTTCTAGTACATAAACTCCTTCATTCATTTTTTTTTTTAGAGAATGGGAAATTTAGGACATTTTCCTGAAGCTGCTGAAGTGGTCTTGCCTTACAGAACAGGATTCTGCTCCAATATCAGAAAATGTAAAAAATGTAGTGTGGGAAATTGGTCGATGTACATGTGAGGTATCAAATAACCGCGCGTGGATACGAATTTTACCATCGAGTGTTCATGACATCTTTTGCACCTTCAATGAGATAATTCAATTTAAGCAGATAAATTCGTATCCACAGGCTGACATGTATCATCCTTTTTATTCAAAAGTACTGATTGTAAATTTGAATGAAATACAATTTTTAAAGAGGAGCATCGAAAACAGAGATTCACTGCACCGAAACTCAGCTCGCCGCAAAACAATTAACAATTGGTTCATACGTCAGTGTGTGTTCATCGAGATATGAAGCACGCGGGAAGTTTGGAGAGCACGAAAGATATGTAAGAGTCGCTCGAGGTGTAGCCGAGAGCAACTCTAGCTTCTTGAGTTGCAACACGATAGAAATGTTTTTTTCTAGAGGGATTTGTTTCCTGACGTCATGAGCGTGCACAATAGGAATATGAAGCACGCTCGCGCAGTTGAATTTAATTAGACAAATTTACTAGCCATGTTATAATTCAATTTCGGACATTGTAATACAACAGTTTCTCATTAAAAGAACTATTTCCTTTGAAAAAGAATTGAATTCAGCTTCAGAAAAAAAAAACAATTGAAAAAAAAAAGCCCACATGGAAAGTAAAACTGTCATCAAACATAGTTTGATGCTATTCTGGTTTGCAGATTTAATGAATGTAACCGAAGAAGTTGCAATTCATAGACCTCTGGAAACGATATGTCGATGATGTTATTTCTGCGGTATCCGGAAATGAAGCGGAGCGCCTCTTGTCGCATTTGAATTCAGTAGAGCCGTCGATCCAATTCACCCTTGAGTGTGAAAAGGATAGACATTTGCCCTTTCTTGATTTAAATGTGTCCAGAGGGGTTCACGGTAATTTAGAGACAAGTGTCTACCGTAAACCTGCCCACACCGACAAATACCTCGCCTTCGATTCTCACCACCCTATTTGCCATAAAAAGTCTGTAGCCAAAACTTTACTTAGGAGGGCTGACTGTCTACCATCTTCACTCGATTCGAATGCTGAGGAGAGGAAATATGTTTCCAATGTCCTAAAGGCAAATGGCTATACAAAAACTTTTCTCCGTAACTGCCAAAAACTAGTTACAAATCGTAACGCTCTTGATGAAAGGGAACCAGCGACTGGTTTTGCTGTTATTCCTTACATACAGGGTGTTACGGAACCCATCAAGAGAATTTTGAATAGCCACAACGTTAAAGTTGCTCAAAAACCTTTTCAGACTATGGGGCATATTTTCGCCAAACCTAAGGATCCTGTCACGAAAGAACAACGAACCGACGTCATTTTTTCTATTCCTTGCAATGACTGTGACAACGAATACATTGGACAGACCAAACGTCAGTTTGATACACGGTTAAAAGAGCACCAAAAAGCGGTTTTCCTTTGCAAAGAGGAAAATTCAGCTTTATCGGAGCATACATACCTAATTAACCATACAACTTAGTGGGATAATTCTAAAATTACCACCAGCGCCTTTTTTTGGAGGCTTGGCATATTAACTTCGCCCACCCTCCTTTAAATCGTGACGATGGCGGTTTGCTTCCTGACGCCTATTTACACCTCGTCAGAAAAAAAGGCCGCTAATTAGTGATCATATAAAAGGACCTCTTGTTGCAGCGTTTAGATCACCCCTGATGAAGGCACCAGACAGGAGTGTCGAAACGTTTTGGGTCTATGAATTGTAACTTCTTCGGTTACATTCATTAAATCTGCAAACCAGAGTAGCATCACACTATGTCTGATTGTCCGCATGGTTGCCGTGTGAATTTTAATATATTAAAACTGTCATGTTGATAAATTCGGTTCGAATGACGACCTTGATACCTTTATATGTGATGATATAAATGGTACATTTACAGCGTGCGGTGGAGATTTCACGTTTTGGAAACTGAAAAAATTCTGGTATTTCACCGACAATCATATTACCGTTATTATTACTATATATCGCGAATGTTACGATATCAAAAGAAACGTACGGATTGTGTGTTTTTATTTCAACCTCGAGCTGTGTTTGAAACTTCGTTTGTTTTCGAGAGATGTTTGCTGGTTTTGATATTGAGAAGAGCTATAATTATATAAAGCACGTTATCTAGCTTTGTCACATGCTCATCACGCGCTTCTGCCGCATAATCATCACGCACAGTTAAACCTTCAACTCTCGTGATCTAACTGTTTATTCTCCCCTCTAGCTGCTACATGTTTTCTTTCAAAGTAGCTACGAAAATTTGGTGTTAACCAAAAATAACCAATTCTGCTAAATAAAACTTTGAATATTCTCATTACCTATTTGCTGGATAATGTACTGATATTACAGGGATAAGTTACAAGTTGTATCACTTCTAGGAGTTTAAGGTTTAAGAAATTGCATCGCGTGCAGACTATTTAACCACGAGGCAAATGAGAGAAACCAATGAAATTTATAAGTGTATGTAATGGAAATACTTTCACGTCTGACAACAATAACCGAGAAAATTCGACTGAAATTAAACCTAACTGTTGTCAGCTGCACGAAAATTAAGATTACGACCTTTATTTATAAATAAAATGAGCTCTAAACAGCTCTAATCAGTTTCAGAATGAAAATTGATTTGTACCTGTTAAACTGTTATCCTCTGAATCCCTCTATTCTCCAAATGATATCATTTGTTAATTCTACATGCCTGAAAATATCAAAAATAATATTTTGCTTTACAACAATTTCGATAAAACAATGAAGGTAACATATTCACGAGTTTGAAAAATCTAACTTCATCTAATGCCCAGTTTCGTGATCAAAATTGCTGTTCTTCTCTAACAAAGTTATTGCGCCTGTTTTTATGTTTGTTTTTTTAATTCTTTTTTATTATTACTTGTTTACATGTTTCTCCATGGCGATTAATTAATTCTGTGATTTAAATTCAGCTCTTTTTCTTTTAGTGCAAAACACTCGCAATCCGCAAAACCCCTTTTCTCCTCAGAGCAGGACATGTTACACTGTGCCATAACCGAATCGATAAGGATGAATTCACACCGTGAGTTACATTGAACCGATGCAATTTCTCTTCAAGTAATTAACTCGTTATATCCCTCGTTCAATATGATACACATTTGTTTTGGTCATCTTCCCGTTAGCGTTACAGTTCTCTCAAATTTTCATTTTCCGCTCTCACCGTGACGACTTCATGAAGTTTCTAAAAATAATAACGGTAAGCTTTTTTCTTGTAAATAACTCCCGCCAATTCTGCACATAATATTTTTGCAGTCAAAAGCGTAGGTGTCCAGTGAAATCACTAGAGAGAGATACAAAGCTAAAGAAATCACATCAATAATATGTATTCTTTATGTAAACTTTTTATTCCAATTTTCTCCTATTTTGATTATAATATGCTACAGATTTCTTCATTAACTTTCCTCACCTCAAGAATACTTGCAATAAATTTAACTCCAATAAAGTTCTTTTGCAAGAAAAATACTTGACTTCTCGTTGTATCTAAAGAAAAACATATTTAAATCGTTTCGCGTCTTGGAAAGAATTAAAGCGATACCATAAGTACTCTTCTTAAAGAAATATCCGAGGACGATATTAAAAATTTGTTAAATCTGTGTACACCATGCATCTTTGTGTATAGAAACCCTCAGTGTATCCTACAGGAATTTTATAAAAAATTGTTACTGAACCATTTGTCTTTAAGTTGGAAGAGAAATCTGAGGCCCTAGCTCTCTGTCTCTTTGAGCTCCAGAATTGTCTGCTGAGTTTGGATGCAGTAAGTGAGGCCATAAATAAATGTATAATAGTTCATACAGACAAGTTACACACATGATACTGGAATCAGAAATGCCGCAGCTTCGTAAATTCCTCATGGGAAGATATATAAGCCACCTCAAGGTCTGGTATGTTTATCTACATGTCAGCATTGATATTTAATCTGTCGTTTAACCTGACTTGACGGATGTTTTTTTTTCGGTCGTCGGTTAAAAATGATTTTTTCCTTTGTCACGAAAGAGCTTAAAATTTCCTTTCTATCCTTATGTATTTTAAAACATGAAACTTTCGACATTGACGATCTAAGCAGTATGCAGGATGATCCCTTATGTATCCACTGTATGTCATGGCTCATTAACGAGAAATATATAGCTATGTGGCTGAACTTCAGATCGTAAAATCCGATGGTCTAAGATTCGATCCTGCGTTCGTGACGAGTAAACAAGATCGATATTTCTTTCATTCTTTTGTCTCATGTTTTAAATTATTTCTATTTGTATCTTTAGTCAATACCCGTTTATCTCATTCACTGCATTAGGTCGCTATTAATTTATTTTGTTCTCACCTGAACTCCTGTGAAAATGTGATTTGCCCCACAAGTGTGTAACAAAACGGTGCACTTGGTAACACCAGCGGTATTGAAGAAGCTGAATATGAGCTCATCTAACTCGAAACTGAAAATCGTGTATCATTGTTTATTTCGTGATCCATGATTGTATTTTGTAGCTGTGCTGTTTCACTATTTATAGGCCAAGTTTGGACAGGGCCTCATATTACATTTTTTAACTTTTCATTTTCATTAATCCGGAGTGTAGCACAATGACATAAACATGCTACTTTTTTATCTATTTATTTTTTTAGTTGGTGTGATGGTCGTTAAACCACCGCCTGCTTAGGTTGATCGAAGGGCGCTGAAAGGACTGGGGAGAATGAGCATAGTTCCTTTGTCTATAAGTACATATTAGAAACCATGACCAAACTATAGGCTTTACGCTTGGGTTCCAGGCTTGGGAGAAAGATACGTAGCACGCACCCAGTACAAGCAATTTATAAGTGGCAGAGGCTATGCGAAGTGAGATATACAACAAACAGACCTATTATGCTGCCATGTTGTTCACTATTTCCTAAAACAGCTTTTAACCAATGAATTAATGTTTGTAAGACTTCTGCGACGAAAGGAAGGTCGAACAGAAACTCCTCAGTGACAAGATCCAACAAATTTCCCAGAGCAGCAAAAGGTAGTGGTTAAGTAGCGATTTGTAATGGCTTTGCGTCTGATTGTTCGAGAGGGTTGCACGAGATTTATAGAGTTGTCATTGTGCTAACTAAAGTACAACCTATGGGATCCTGGACAACCTTCGACTCTCACTTCAAATTTTCTTCATTTTCCTTTCAGCTTTTGTCGCATACCTTGGTTATGTGACTGTGCTGGTTGCCCACAGCCATCCCGTAATACTGGTGTTCTGTCAGTTGCTTATTGACAGAAAGAAAGATCACCAGCCCCCGCAAGACGGTAAGTAAACGGTCGGAATCCTGACTTGGCTGGGATGATTGTGATTGGCTCGATGGATAAACGGACAAATGAGCGTGCGCACGAATGGGCGGACAGACAAATGGGCAACTGTAGCTTAAAGACAATTAGCACGTTTGTTTCCCTAATAAGATCAAAACACAGCGCTGTTTATGCACTTGCAACAGGCACTCAGCAACCAATCAGAACACTAGAAATGATCTTTTCACAGAGGGCAAGAAACACATAATTTCCTTTTGTTAAGCGTCGTTATTATTGTGAAATCGTGGAAAATTTGGCAGAAAACGTACCCCATTCCCCAAGTCAGATTTGATAAAAAATGGGTACTATTGAGAAGAAACTTACGATGCGAGCTATGTTCGATTGGTTACTATTCATTTCATATCCATTCTGTGGTCACGCGGGAATATTGAAAGTTAGCCTTTCTTTTTTGCCACTTTGCACAGTGTGTAACCTTTTTTTCACCTTGAGTCTGCAGTGCTTAACGTTAAAATTAGTTTCCAAGTACCGTGTTTTAATTAAGGCATCTATTTTGTCGCCGGACCTCCGACAGAGCCTGTATATTGTAGGTTTGGCATCAAGGCAGGACGCTCTGAAGCTTTGTAATATTTGTGTTAAATGACTTTTCGTTGCCATTCCAAAACAATAGTGAAGGAAAAAAACAAATTTTGTCTCCCTTCTTACTCAAAGTACGAAAGAAATTTCTCTCTTTTGGCCTATTTTCTCTATTGCTAGATTCCTTTGTTGTCATAAACTAATTTTTTGGAAGGATAATTAACTTAAAATACTCGACGAAGTCCCTCCAGATCTCGTCCAAACCTTTCAAACGTAGCTTATATTGCCGTTCCTCTCTCTTTGTCTTTCAGGCTTTAGTCGGGAGCCTCTTCGGCCGCGCATGTCTCAAAAGGCTGTCAACCGCTGGTTCCTAGCCGTGACTCCTACGCAACCCATCTTTTATCAAGTACCGCCGCCAAGACCGCCATTTCACGGCATCTGTTGTGACTCTTGAAAGCGTCAACTTTGACGTTCCAGTGTAAAGTTTTGACACTAACCCACAAGAAAGAACACTGTTCGCTCTTTACGTTTTATGTTTTAGTCTAGGGTAAAGGTAAAAAAATTGTAGGGGTCTCCCTCATTAGTTACTACAGTAGGATATAGTCTGCATCTGGGTGTTGTTGTTGTTGTTGTTGTTAATGGTTTTTTTTTTTAATTTTTTGGAGTCAAAATGTTACTCCCCTAATGAATATTACTCTAAATTCTGGGTTAAGCTTTATTAAACACGTAGATTGTAGTAGAGAAGTGAGCAAGGAAGCACACAAAGTACTTATTAAAATAAAAGAAAATTGTAGATTTTTAATGCCGGCTTCTGGAATGTGACCCGGACAGGGTCAAAAATTTAAATTTAAAATTTTGGCTAACATTGTAGAGGTTTACCAAAAAATTCTACTATCTTGCTTTTTTGCTTGTCTTCAAAGAAATGCAAACTTTTTGTCTTCTGATCATGAGTGCCTGGATCATAATCCACCACAGCAAGCTGCACTCATAATAAAATGACACTTATCAAGGAACACTTCAAAGAATCCAAATTTAAACATTTGGACATCATGTTAGATATCAAGGCTAATGTGTTCACCTTGACTTAAATTTTTCTTTTTCTTCTCAGTCTACTAAAATCAATGGCAGAGAAGTAAAAGTGGAACAAACAATGACATAAAATGGAAAATCTTTCTCATCTGATACATTTCATTTAAAGTGCTTCATGAGTAATGTAATTTAATACAGGTCTTGTTAATATCTTAGGATTTAATGGGTGACAATTGAATCTTTTGGAAATATTAGTTTAATGTTACATGCATATTAAGGTTTCTCTTGCCAATTAATTAAATTCTCAGTGGCTGATTACAAATCAATTAGTTATTAATTTATTTAAAAGAACATTTTATCAAAATTAATGTTGACCCTTATATAAACTTAAGGTACACTACACGATGTAAATAACATTCTAAATTGTAGAAAATTTCTTCTTTAAATATGAATTGTTCATTATTCAAAAGTGACAGGATCTATGTTAATCAACTCAAAAGGCTTATTCTTCTCATTTGTGTAAACCTCCCCCCCCAAAAAAAAAACAGTAATGATTTTTATTTAAAACAAACTTAATATTTAATTGCTTAAACTTCAAGAAGAGAATACCTTGGCGTCCTTAAAGCTCAATAGCAGTAAGTCCCTTGAATTTCCAGCTAACCTAACAGCTTTAAGACATTCTATGTTGCCAAACAAAGAATACTGACTGACAAGTTCCAACTTCCTCCTCTTTGTAGTACCATCTAAGTAAAGTAAACCACAGGTGACCCAATCTTGCATAGTGAAACTCTTGTATATGAGCAATTCAATTGACCATTACATTGAAAGGTGGACATGTCTGAAAATGTTAGTAACTATCTGCATGTAAACCTACATTTACAATCTCCTGAGGGGCTAATCCCCCTCCCACAAAAAAAAACAAAAACAAAAAAAAGTTAAAAATTGAAATTAAACAACCTAGGAGTAATAACATGGAAGATTGAGAACATCTCTATCTCTATAGCATGTCAGATATTGGTCGTTTTTGTAGGAGATCAAATTTGCTGCAACCACTATCTGAAATCATAAAGTGGGCCAGCTTAAGTTACTAGAAATATTCATCATATCCCTCTCTATATTTGAGCAACTTTCTACTCTCCAAATCTGGTGCTTTTCTTTGATGCTGGAATCTGATTTATTTGTTGGTTACAGGTTAACTTACGAAAGCTTGTTACAAGTACATCTCACCCTTGATAACCCAAGTAAATACTGACCTCCTGTCTTGTCTGATGATGCTGATCCTGTTGAATTATGCTAAAATGAAGACAGCATACATAAAAAAAGTTCAATAACAATTAATTGCCAAAGGCTATATGAACATTACCAAATAGTTAAACAGAAGGTAGAGACCCAAGGCATTTATACCAAGGCATATAAATAAAGCGTGAGAAAACAGTCATTTCATTTACCAACGATAGTCAATTCCCTTTGCCAGCCCCTCAGCCGCCATGTTGTTTGTTTACCTCAAATCATTTTGTTTTGAAATTTGAAATACGTATTTTGATTTGACCTCCTAAACAATATATCCTTTTCTGGGTACCAACTAGACAGCCTGAGAAGACCTTTAACCACTAGGAAAAAAAGAGACGTCGGAAATAGTTTAACTGCCTAGGGAATTTCGCTTTCAGATAATAGTGCATTTATGTCTACCAGAGATTCCAACCCCATGTGATGGAAAATAGGGAGTAATTATTAGTGCCAAAGGCGCGAGCTTCTAGGGGGGTCAGGGGGCATGCCCCCGGGAAATTTTGCAAATTTAGGTTCTCTCAAGTGCCATTTCCTGAATTTTGACATCATTCCAGCCTGAGTTATAACATACCATAATGCTCTTCGCGAAGAAAGTAAGTATAATATGAGTGTTTCACAGTGACAGATCGCCAAAAATTCTAAAGATTAGCAATTTTCCCCTAGTTTTCAGAATTTTATGATAAATCGGGAGAATTTGGTAAAAATCGGGAGAGCGGGAGGCAAGACATCAAATCGGGAGACTCCCGATCAAATCGGAAGGGTTGGAATCTCTGGTCTACACCTGATATCGAGCGAGATATTTTCAATAATACAACAACTGAAGTCCCCATTAAACGATTCACGGAGCCCGTCTCCTACCTCGCCTTGGGTATAAAACTCGCTGATACGAAGCTGTGATGTTCCTGCCTCAACACGATTGTTTTTCAGCTGGTGAAAAAGAATTGACAGTACTCGCAGTGTTCGATTCCTGTCGGAGGGTGTGTTTGTTTATAAATCGCATACATCCTTTGCAAAATAATAATAATAGAGAAATAATCTCCTGCAAATAACTGAAAGCTATAGCAAGCAAAAGGTAACCGAAGAAGTTCAGTGACAAAAAGGCATGAAATTGTGAGAAGAAATCTTCCAGGCCTTCTGCTTTGACACCAGGCCTCTTTGGGAGATTCCGCCACTAAGCGTCATTTCCATGGAAACGATTTCTGGTGCATAAAGTTCTCAGTCTTGAAAGAAATGCTCACCGACAGCAACAAAGTAGCTGGAGACTAAGAAAAGGGAAAAAAAAGAGGTCATGAATATAGAATCTTGGTGCACCGTCGAACTCGACTCTAAGCAAGACTGACTAAGGACTTTAAAAACGTAATGAGAATCAAGAATATCTAATTGTTTATTTCGAGCGCTGGGATAGAAAGCCAACCGACACGTGTTCGTTTTTCATCTGACAAACAAAAAAAAAAGGTATGTTTTATTTACGTTTTAAAAAGAAATCCACCAAAGCAAATTCAGTTCTTGCTCTTGGCACGCAACTAACTTCTCGTTGTCGGAGACTGATTCGTGCGTGACACATGTCAAATGATGAGTGTGAACATGGCTACCGAATCGGGCGCTAGATAAAGAGATTTTCAAAATGTCTTTTATGCTACCGACGTAAAAGAAAGAAAGAAATTGTTAGGTAAGGACCTACTAATTTCAAAACTTCAGGAAGAAGATGATTTCAGGCCCGGGATACTTCTTGATATTCGTTATGACATGTTGGCTTATTTTGTACACAAAGGATTCCATGGCGAGAAGTGACTCTGCTTTGGAAGTACAAGGTTAGCTTTCAATTCGTCGATCGATGAGCGTTGTGGCTGCTGGTGTTATGTGCTATCTTACAATGGATACAGGTCTGGTTACGGTATTAAACACTGTTACCTTAGCCACATATCAGCCTTTCTCTTTGTGATCGTGATTGACTTTCTGTACAATTATCCCACACTGTCTAAACTCATTCACTGTCTTGTGCTATTGACATGTACAAAATATAACCTACAAAATTTAGAACTTGTCGTATTCAGAACGAACGATTTGATCCTATGCAAGAAATATGTCACCAAAATCTTATAGCTGAAAAAATTATGTCGTTGAATGTTGAAGACAGAATGCAAAGTTCTTGTATGACACAAGATCTTGTTCAAACGCTTACTATTTTGCTTGTGTAAGATCTGAGTTTGCAAATTTGGAGATTTAATCGATAGATTTGGACTTGAAGGTGGTCCATGTTTTAAATTTTTCTGCGGACCTAAATTAAGTCTTTGTTGAGTCATCTATGCGTTTTGTTTGGAGCAATATTGGACAGAAATCTCCCTTTTTATTCCAAGACTTAATGCTTAAGCTACTGATTAGTTATAAACCATCCTGTATACTTTTCTAGAGAGTGAAATCTTATGACTTGTGTAGCAATGCAGTTTAAGTCAACTAAAGCTCTCAAGTCCATGCTGGCAAAGAGAAAGATTTCATGGGCATCACCTATCAAGGGTGGAAAAGAGAAGAGGGTATGGGGGCATGTTCCCCTGGAAAATTGTAAAAAAATAAAATAGCTAAATTGTGCATTTCTTTAATCTGAGAGAGAATTTTTGCTGTTAAGAAGTGTGCAAAATGAGTGCATAGGGAACAATGAGTAAATTATATTTGGAAGGATAATTTTATAGGTTCTTAATGAAAGCAGCAGTTTGCTATCTCAAAATCAACAGAATAAATGCAAAACCTTATAGGAGTGAGGAATAATGGCTTTAGCATGAGAGTGTAAGAATGAATTTGTTTGCGTGAGTTTCACACCCAATGCATGAGACTGGAGAGCTCTAAGTCAACACAACACATTTAGCATACTACAGCATTTTTTGCTTTTGTTTCGTTTATGTACCCAGTCTGAGTATGGTAATTTACAAGGGATTCTTCAATGCATGCCATTTGTTTATTAATGGTGCTGTAAATTTTTAGTGGGTAGGGAGATTCATTGTAAAAGGAAATGATAGGATGAGGGCTGGAAGAATAAAGTAACATTTCAATATTCCAAAAGGCAAACAAATTTCCAAACTTAAATATGTTTGTTCTACCTTAAGAATGATGTTCACCAACCAACTGTCAAGCACAAAAGTAAAATCAAAAAGTGGAATTAAACACAATAAAAATAGAGGAACTGTATTTTCAGGAGGGTGAAAAACAAAGAGACAATTGTAATGCTGTAATCAATGCTGTCTCCACTGCCTTGGGTATAACCTTCACCAATAACTATTTTGTTTTAATTATGCAAACCCCTTGAGAAGGCTATAACACTGTTTATACAACAGCTCAACAGAATTGCCCTTTACTCCTGTGAAAAAATCCTTAAGTCTGTGAGAGATTTTGTTTTCATGGCATTGTTTAAAAACCACAAGCTGTATCAATTTGTTCTGACACAAGAAAGAGCTGATGACATCACCAAGTGTGAGCTGGTTACTAAGCCAGCGTTGGTTTCGCAACCTATGAGGGATGGTGTACATTAGAGTGTTTGGAATGAAGAATGGAGATTAAAACATATTGAAAAGATGGAACAAAATGCATCCAGGTATGTGACTGTGTATGCAACCATTGACTTGGTAGCAAGTTTACTTTAGAAGTAATGCCCATTCTAAGAAGTTGTACTCCCAAATTCACCTCAGAAACTTTCTTACTTGAATCAGGCTAATTTAATGTTTATTATGCTCTTTGTCAAGAATGATACATTTCACTGGAATAAAAGTGTAACGATACGACTTATGTACAAAATCAAGCAAGGTTGTTTATGGTAGACCGGGACTGACAGGTAAATACTGTCTGTTCTAACTTTAAAGCCATCTGAAAGTACTGGTCATTAAAGAAGATGCATTCCTTCTAATGTTTTCTCAAATGTTCCTCTTTATTGGAGTAATTAGTGCTACAAAAGAAAACATAGTTAAGCACATCTATTTCATTATGAAATGGGTGATCATTAGACAGTTGAAACTGTATTAAGTGACACCATATTAAAAAGTCACCCTGTAATAAAGGGGTCAGTTGTCAGATTTTCTCCCCTTAATTACTGTTACAGTAATTTTTACTTCTACAAGTGGTCATGGTCATCCTTGAGTCCCAGCTTCCTGTTTTTACTGTCTTCTTCTTGCATGTGTTGAACAGTCACTCAAGCAGAATCTCTCCAATAAAAGTAGGAGTAGTACTTTGAGTTTAAACGTGCTCAACATGTTGCAAATTATCTTATTCTTCTTAGAACTGTTGGAACAAATATTATGCACAAACATTACACAAGTCAATCGGCCCATAGATATGACCTAGAGGTCCAACTGATAGAAAATAGTAGACAATATTTCTGCTTTAGTGTTCTGTTTTTATGCTATGTCACCATTTTGTTTGACTTTGAGGAGTCAATGCATCTTTTAGCAAGCTTTTGAGTAAACTTTAAGTTAAGCGATCAATTATGGCATAAAATAGCATTTTTTTACAGCATTTGACTGCTATTCTGTGGAAACTGTTTCAGTAGTGTCCTTGCAATTCCCTATGGATGACTGCTTAATACAGGTTTGACTGTATGCTTTTTCTTCATCAATCACCACTATGCAACACTGATACTATTCTCTTTACTATTTAGGAAAGAAATGAAGTCCAACAAGCTGTCCAGCAACTGGAGCAGCAGTTTCTGGAGTTTGACTCATCACCAGAAAACTTATCAGCAGAAAATTTAGCCTCAATTGTGGCTATTGGGTTACTGATAAAGAGGCTGTTGTGACAAGCACCACTATCAGTTATAAAATCAAAGAAATGCATGATTCTTTTAAATTCAAGTGCAAACGGGCCACTGTTAGTCAGGAGAATGACAAGGGAAGAAAAAAAATCTGCAGCTTCTTGTCGTTGTTCCAAAGGAAATTCTGGAAAATAGTGATCTCATTGCACAAGTATACTTTTCAGTTGTAAGTGTACTGTGGTATAATTTTTAACTTTCAGACAAGTTACTTTAGGGATAATTTCCCATCTTTATTTATCATTTTATCAACATTATGCTCTAATTATGTGTAGCTTTATGGACTCAGAGTCAACTTTTCTTCTTTTCAAACTTATGATTGATAATACTTTAAATTTCAGATGAACCTCTATTAAAACATCCACTGAATTTTTCTTTCCTTTTGCATGACATTATATTGTTGGGTTGTTGATTCTTAGAAGAAAATTTGCGTATGCGAAGGCAAAGAAAATTTGTCCACAACAAAATGAACATTTTTGGCATCACCTCGCATTTCTAAACAAATGGAGATATTTCTCCAAACAGGTTGAAATAGGGTTTTCTGTGGAACCGAGTGGAAACTGGAAGAAGCCCTGCCCTGCATAGGTGTCTCTGTTCATGAGATTTTCACTCTCAAGATCTCATTAGTAATTCTCCTTACTGTTTGCCATATAGTTCTTGTGATGTTAGTTTGGAGAATTTGGTATTGAATCAATTAATAAGCTAATTAATAGTTTTCTTTATTCTCATCACTTGTCTGCTTGATATTGTATTGATATTGTAAGGAGAAATTCTGTCTTGGTCACATATGGGAGTGTAAGGGATAAGTCCTGCAAAAATCATAAAAACTGGGAATGAAAGTGTTGAAAAAAAAAATGAGAAAAAGTCTCAAGTGTTATTTTTTTTTCTTAGCTGCAACAAGTGAAAATCTTTTAGAGGTTTCCTTGTTTCCTCTTCCCATTCTTTTTACATGTGGGATATATTTCATTTCTCTAATTTCTTTCCATTATTTAATTTTTGTCTGAGGTCCAGTGATTTCATACATCTTGCTTTAAAAAAGGTTAATAGGTGCCCTTTAAGTAGCCAGGAACCTATTCAAGGAAATATTTTACATCTATTTCATGTCACTTGCATTCCACACTTCCTTAGATATTTTGATGTTGGTTCACGACATGGTGTTAAATTATTTTTTTTCAGTGTTAAAAGAAGGAAGAAAAAATCATTTAATTTGAGATAGGGTAGGGTTTTTTTCTAAGGGCTGTTTATACCCTCCCCTTGAGGCAGTCTCTCTGGTAGATTAATAGCTTTTGACTGATATTGAAAAGGCGACTCCCCTCCCCCATTAGCTTCCAAGTTGTGTCCAACAATTGGGGCTAGATATATCACAACACAAAGTTGAAATCATTCTACAAAATTATTCAATGACAAATTAGGGAGGTCTGGTTCCATTAACAATAACTAGTAAGTTAAAATCTTTACTGTTCAAGTCTGATACTTCATCTTTATATTTTGAACTGCAACTCTGACAAGTAACAGCCAACGAATTGGTACAAAAATTACATTAATATTTACAAAAAAAGCTGAAACCTTCAGGAAAAAGATTATTTGAATGTGATATAAATCTTACAGATATAACCTACAAAAAGGCCTTCTCTCTTTGAAAGCGTGGTGATTTGATTTGCAATTTGGTTACAATTCTTTTTTCGATATTTTGTTGTAAGTGTTAAACTACTTGAACCGGTTCGCTTCAATCAGAAAACAATACAGAAAACACGAGAAATAAAAAAAAACTTGGTAAGCAATCTGTAGTGTTAACATTAATCTGATGCCTTTAAAATCTCCCAAAACACTTCCAGCGAACAAAACTTACAAGAGCATGGAGAGAATTTAGGATCGAAACTGACCAACCACAAAATGACAAAGTTTCCTGAGAAGTCCGAGACTTATTTGTTTTCACTGCAGGAAGCTTTGTGTTTTTACTTCAATGTTATTGGTTCGTTTTTAAAAAAGTTTGACATCCTTTGTTCTCAATAAACATGTTCATTGGTTTATTTTTCTTCATTTCGATCCGGTTCAAATAATTTTGCTGCTTTGAGCGCTTTACAGATTTGCTTTGCTTTTATTCATTGAGTCATTGGGTTGAAACTGTCACTGAGCTGGTTACCTCACTGTTATTTTGAATAGTAAGTGGTTCAAATAATTTCTTTTCAGTTTTTAATAAGAATTTCTGAGGCCTAAAGAATTAGCTTACATTAAGACTGACTATTGCTTAGTAAATTACGTCCCTTTTGCTCACCTGCTTGAGTGATGTTTTTATTGTGTGAGAGGTTTAACGTGTGTAGCTGACAGTTGTTGTTGTTGATGGCTTCAGCCAAGTGCTGTGCTCCAATGTCTGAGATGTTATTGTGTGAGAGGTCTAACGTGTGTAGATGACAGTTGTTATTGTTTATGGCTTTAGCCAAGTGCTGTACTCCAATGTCTGAGATGTAATTGTCTGTGAGGTTTAACGTGCGTAGCTGACAGTTGTAGTTGTTGATGGCGTCAGCCAAGTGCTGTGCTCCAATGTCTGAGATGTTATTGTCTGTGAGGTTTAACGTGCGTAGCTGATAGTTGTTGTTGTTGATGGCTTCAGCCAAATGTTGTGCTCCAGTGTCTGAGATGTTATTGTCTGTGAGGTTTAACGTGCGTAGCTGACAGTTGTTGTTGTTGATGGCTTCAGCCAAATGTTGTGCTCCAATGTTTGAGATGTTATTGTCTGTGAGGTTTAACGTGCGTAGCTGACAGTTGTTGTTGTTGATGGCTTCAGCCAAATGTTGTGCTCCAATGTCTGAGATGTTATTGTCTGTGAGGTTTAACGTGCGTAGCAGACAGTTGTTGTTGTTGATGGCTTCAGCCAAGTGCTGTGCTCCAATGTGTGAGATGTTATTTGCTCTGAGGTTTAACGTGCGTAGCTGACAGTTGTTGTTGTTGATGGCTTCAGCCAAGTGCTGTGCTCCAATGTCTGAGATGTCATTGTATGTGAGGTTTAACGTGTGTAGCTGACAGTTGTTGTTGTTGATGGCTTCAGCCAAGTGCTGTGCTCCAATGTCTGAGATGTTATTTTCTGTGAGGTTTAACGTGCGTAGCTGACAGTTGTTGTTGTTGATGGCTTCAGCCAAGTGCTGTGCTCCAATGTTTGAGATGTTATTGTCTGTGAGGTTTAACGTGCGTAGCTGACAGTTGTTGTTGTTGATGGCGTCCTCTAAATACTTTGCTGCTTCATCTGTCAATTGATTGCTTGTGAGGTTTAACCAGCTCAGTTGAGATTCACTACATTTTAACAATTTACAAATCTCAAGACAACCTAATGGATCAATGTTATTGAATTTCAAATCTAAATGTGAAATTTGTCGAACACTAATTACATTTACAAACGAAGAGCAATCAACAGCTGTGATGTGACAACGATAAAAATTTACACAATTAAAGTTCATTTGTTTAAGTTTTCTCTGTGCTTCTGACTTCATTCTTCTATTTTCGTTTAAACATTTAATTAATGTTACTGCTAATTCTCGTTCGTCTTCAGTCGGCCAGCAGGTTACTTTTCTTTTCTCTTCATTCTCTGTCCACTGTTCGTTGTAGTCTGCGCTTTCTCTTTCTTCAGTTTTCACAGGAAGAAGGTCCGTGATAATTTCAATTGGTAGGTGAACTTTATCCTCCATAAGTCCTGCCAGAAACTGAAAAACCAGCTGCCATTTACCGTTCTTAATGTTCTCGGAAACAAAGTTTCTTAATACTGTTTCACTCAAGTCGCTCGCCAAGTGCCTCGCAGCGAAAAACTCTTGCATTGTCAAATGAATGAAACAGAATTGTGGTTCAAGATTAAGCGTGTCAGTTTTACGGTCGGGTAAGCGATGAAAAAGAGCGCTGTCTCCCATTCCTTGTATCTCGTTTCCTCCAAGGATCAGTTTTCCATCTTTGATTCCGTCAAAGGCTACTTTTCCTAGTATCTTGAACTTCTCCAGTACATCTTTGGGCAAATTATGTTCGAGAGGAAACAAAATATTGCACAATTCTATTGTATGTTTAAAATAAAACACTTTCACTGCAATATTGTATATCAATGTTAATTTGGAAGGGAGGGTAAAGTCAGCGGAACTTTCGGACTCTTGTAATCGCTTGATTTCTAACAGACTTGTGCCGATGATAAAGCTGTTGACCGGGACATAACACAGCGAGAGCAAATTCAAGTTGCTACTGATGTGTCGCCATAGTGTTTCGCCCACTGCCTTTTCATCTCCGGCCAATTTGAATACATATTCTTCAACTTGTTCAGATGAGAATCCTAGAACCTCGTAAGTTTTGTCAAACGAAAGGTGTTTGATGCTCGACAAAGCCGTAGGTCTCGTGGTGGTCACAATTGAGGCATCTTTTAGGAGTTTCCCGGTCACAAGCCACTGATAAAGGATTTGGAGCGGCTTTTTCTCTTCATTGCTTCTGGGATAAAGAGGCGCCCCGACCACGTTTGCGTCATGTTTAAATTCGTCGAATCCGTCAAAAAGTATGAGTACACCTTTGGGGTTCTCAAGCAGGTGATTCCAGACCTCGTCATCTAGCTGATCTGTTGGGAAATACTCGGACTGAATTAACAGTTCCTTGAGGCTAAGGTCGTTTTCCGATTTGAATCTTCTGAATTTCACGAGGAAAGCGGCATCAAAATGGATTTTGCCTCCAGCTGTCGCTTGAAAAACTTTATTTAATGCCCAGTCTCTGACAAGTTTGGTACAACATAATGTCTTGCCGATTCCTGCTCGACCGACGATTAACACTTTCTTATTTTCAACATTTAGGAGGCCTTCCAAGCTTTTCGGTTGTGATTTTTTCCCGCGCGACCTTGGATAAATTTTGAGCTGTTCCTCTCTGTTTTCAGTAAAGTCATACGTAGCTCTGTTCGGAATCACAACAAGATTTGTGTAAATTTGATCCAAAGTCAAATGTTTAACTGTTGTGTTTTCGCCTGGATTACCTGAAAAAGGTGATTGTAGTTCGAAAAGTTCTTCGGTCTCCTCAATAATAATTTCCTTTTTGCATTTGATGAATTCGTGAAACTTTCGTTCTTGGAGTTCTTCAGTGTCTGTTTCAGTGAGTGGAATTGTTTCGTCCCTTCCATCTAGGTGTTGGTTGAGACCGAAGTGGGTTTTAAGAAACATTGAGTCTTGCATGAAACTCCTTTCAATGCATGCCCGTGAAAAAAGGTAAACGATTTCAACCAGAATAGTAACGACAAGAATTCCATTCACACCAAGGGCAGCGTACATCCAGTAGGTTTTCTTTGCCGCTCGTTGATTGTGACAATCGTATAAAGTCGAGTGTTGGGCGTTGTTAGTTGAATTCCTTGGCTGAGTGGTTCCATCGGTTAAATTGCAGTCAAACTTGGAGGAAAACTTTAAAGGATAAAGTAACTGAGTTTGTAGGATGATGAAAAGAACTCCTAAAACAAGTCTAGTGAATAGTTGACAGCAGTAAGCGATAAAAAGCTTATATCCCGTCGATAATGCGTTCCCTTGGTCGCACGGCTGTCCCTCTGAATCACCGTCACGACTGCTTGGCGACAGTCGATTGACTGTTGGTCTTACTATTAGGGAGTAGATAACACATGCAGATATAATAAGGACGAAATTCGTGATTACGAAGCCATAAACAGGAACACTGAGTTTGTTTTGTTGCTTCGCGTATTTCTCGTAACATTTTCCCTGGACGGCTTTGATGTTTTCACTTTTCGCTCCGCCACAGTTGAAATCAAACCTGGGTTCGTTGTATTCCATGTCGGCGAATATAACAAGGAAGATGACACTAATCACGCTCCAAATAACCACTACCCCAAAGGGAATTTTGTTGAAAGTTTTTGGTTCCAAATAAACTAATAGCTTTTCCATTGACATTTTTGGTGATTCCGTTATCTTCGTTTGAGTACTGATTTCCTCCGGTTCAAGTGAACTGCTAATTCGATTATAGCGTATTTAAAGAGATACAGAACTTTTGTTTGATTGGCTCTTTGAAAACTTTGAACTGTCAAAAAGGTGATGGCCTTGTTTACATAAGAAACTGATATCAGACTAGTGAATTAAGCCGGATACAGATATGTATTGTTTCAAAAGATGCGCTTGACCTCTTCATCCACCCGTCCCCCTTTGCTCATTTCCATACACCTTCGATCTTCTTTCCTATGAAAATTCAGCGCAGAAGCCCAGTAGACTTGACTTAACTTCTGCTGTCAAACCCAGAGTACTTATGTTGATTACTTTGCAGCTTTAAGCCTGCTAATTTCTAAGCTACCAAGTATCACCATTTTCTGCAGTATTCTTGTATTTCTTACTTAATAGACGCCAACACACCAGGGTGTCATGCTGGTGAAAGACTTCTTTTTTTGCACAGTGGGAGACGTGATGAAAGCACGGGACCGCGCAGAGGGGGGGGGAGGGCTTAGCCCCCCACTTTTTCGCGAAAATCGAAAATAAATTCAACAAAAACAATTTAACAAAAATAACGGAGCCAAAAATACCCCCCACTCAAAAACTTGCCGCGCGATTCCAGAAGAAACACTTAGTCTGTAGACTTAATAAGATTGGATAACATAATGACGAGGCAAGAATGGTTCCGCGTCAGGCTAAACTTTGAATTGTCCACTTCCTGTTTAGGAATGATCCCGTAAAACTGGTTTATTTCGACTATCACTTGCTTAGATTGGTAACAATAAGAACACAAATTATACAAAATTATTTCCGCCGTATTATTTAGTTGTAGCTCTTCGCGTTGCCAAAAAATTTCGAAGCATGTAAAGAGAACGCGGCGCCGAATCCACTTTGCTGGACGCGATCAATTGTTGAGGGGTTAAGAGGGCAGTGTAATTAACTGATAGATTTGGCGCCAGATTGATGCTTGGCGGCAGGATAAGAGAGCTTCAGGACAAATATCGTGACGATAGCGGAGAGCGCTAAAGACATCATGAAACTTCAGTTCCTCCCTGGTGACTTTAGATGTACAAAAAAAACGACATTCGATTTTATAAACGAAAACTATATGAGTGGAGGGCACTTCGCTCTTTCTGGGTGTTACTAAATTGTAGATTAGCAGACCGTAGAACCTGCGATCATTCTGCGCCATGCTGCGTAACCATTAGTCTTTTTGTAAAAAAAATATTAATTAATTAAAATAGAAACTTAAAATACCTTAACATTTCAAGAAATCTCGTTTTCGGGTTTAAAGAAGACAACGTTAACATATATATATATATATATATATTTTAACAATTTTGACGTCCAATTACTGAAAACTCAAGCTCACACGGTGAGCCTCTGTGATTATGCAAAAATGTTTCCGTTGCGCAATGGGTGAATCAGGGATTTGCATGGGAATAAACAGCCGCGCTCTCGACTTTAGAAAGATCTGGACGTGTTTTGAGTAATACTTTGACAGTAAAAATTTGACAAATTTACCCCGTTCAAGTGGTTGTTCTTTTGCATCGAGAGAATTTTTTTGGGCTGAGCTCGGTTAATTTAGCCCGGTTTTAGTTCATCTACCTAACCCTCTACATAATCCCTTCCAAAACAAAGGGTGTCTACAAAACGAAGACCGAAGACCGAAGACCGAAGACCGAAGACCAAAGACCCAAAAACGAAGACCCTAATTTTTTTGCCCGAATAAGGCACGGACAGTTAAAAAACCAAGCCAAAGCGTTCCTCAGCACAAACAGATGTGAAAATAACGGGGATCTTCGTTTTGTGGAAAAGACCCCCTGAATCTATAAAACGAAGACCCTCACTAAAACGCTTTGTCAGACGCCAATTGACGCGAAATCAATGGGGTCTTCGTTTTGTAGAAAAAGCCCCCTGAATCTTTAAAACGAAGATCCTTGCTAAAACGCTTTGTCAGACCCCGGGGAAGGGGGGAACTCCTATACATTGCCTATAGGGGTATGTGCTGCCCAACGGGGTCATGATTTCGGAGCTCCTGATCAGTAGAACGAGCTATCCAATTTTATGACGGAGCTTCGGTTCGTGGGCGTGAGTTTCCGATCCTGTCGCCCACTGACATAAACCATATGCGAAACCTGTCACTGAGTCAGCTATGGTGCTAGCTTTTATTTCCGAATTCCTCGAAAACGAAGCTATCGGCTATGCAAAACGGTTTTCCTTGATTTATTTGAGATCGTGCATGGCTTGAGAAAGCTTCAGATCGGCTCACGCGCTTGCACTTAAAGTTTATTTTCAAACATGCTTTTACTTCATTATGTAAACAATATTAATTAAATTTTAGAGTTCACTATTACATTGATATGCTTTCGATACAATTGTTGGTCCGAAAAGACATATAGTACAGTAATTTACGCTTCCTTGAGATACGATTTTCCGCACGGAATGATCTCTGCAAAAAGCTTTATGTTAGAAGTATAGTATTATGATCAATTTCTTTAGGTACCTTTTGTTAAATCAAGGTAGATATAAGAGTTTAGAAACTGTGCTTATCTTGCCTGGAATCTCTTAAATAGAAGCAGTGATGCCGAGGTTTCTGCATGCTGTGCCTCAATTTTTAACGCTTTCAAACAAGGATTCTTAAAACTGACAGGTTATAACTGAATATAAAAAGACACTATAAAAATTGCACATATTTTGTAAAGGAAGTTTTGTTCTGTGCATTCTTGCGTGACTTAATACTGATCCTAATATAATTGGTTGAATAGGCCTTATACATTAGGTTATGTGCTTATATTTCGCAAAGCTTTGCTTTGGTGCATCACTCTCAACCCGCTGGCAAAACGTGTACTTTGAAAGCGAGCTACTAAGACGAGATGTTTAGAAGGAAACATGAGTACCATTTTTTCCCTGTAATTTTTGTTAGAATAATAACCCTGTAAATGAGGATCGCAGCCATTTTTCCTAGTATGAATTAGTTCCTCGTATATTCTAGCCTATGTCAATAGTAGGGAGAACACGCATTCCTGTATACATACTTTATACATACTTATCCATCACTGCAAATGTGATACAGGGGATTTCAATTTCACTGTAGTTTGATAATTAGCACATCGTTGTTTACTTTAGTTTCTGTAAATGTTTTTTAAATAGGAATGAGTATTTTAAATTTTGTTAATTTTACCAGGAATCGAAGACATTTTCCCTGTGTATAGTTTCTATAATTCCAGAATTGCATAACCACAAATAAAACAATATTTTATTCGTTTTGTGTCTAACTTTCATTGCCAAAGGGAACTATCCAATCGAGGGTATTCATTTTGTATATTCACACGGTCATTTCGAATTCTACAAAACGAAGACCCTAATGATTTCGTGTCATTTGGAGTCTGAAAGGCGTTTTAGCAAGGGTCTTCGTTGTAAAGATTCAGGGGGTTTTTTCTACAAAACGAAGACCCCCTTGATTTCGCGTCAGTTGGCGTCTGACAAAGCGTTTTAGCTCCGAAATCATGACCCCGTCGGGCAGCACATACCCCTATAGGAAATGTATAGGAGTTCCCCCCCCCTTCCCCGGGGTCTGACAAAGCGTTTTAGCAAGGATCTTCGTTTTATAGATTCAGGGGGTCTTTTCTACAAAACGAAGACCCCATTGATTTCGCGTCAATTGGCGTCTGACAAAGCGTTTTAGTGAGGGTCTTTGTTTTATAGATTCAGGGGGTCTTTTCTACAAAACGAAGACCCCTTGACTTCGCGTCAATTGGGGTCTGACAAAGCGTTTTAGTGAGGGTCTTCGTTTTGTAGATTCAGGGGGTCTTTTCTACAAAACGAAGATCCCCGTTATTTTCACATCTGTTTGCGCTGAGGAACGCTTTGGCTTGGTTTTTTAACTGTCCGTGCCTTATTCGGGCAAAAAAATTAGGGTCCTTGTTTTTCGGTCTTCGGTCTTTGGTCTTCGGTCTTCGTTTTGTAGCCACCCCCAAAACAAATCTGTGAGTAACACCAACCGAGTGAATCCACTGGAAGCAAAACGCTGATTAATCACTCCGAACACCCCGATCACCCCAAAATTCGGCTTACTGTAATTTGCGAAACGAAATGAAAACCTGTAATTTGCGAAAAAAATTATTCTGAGACTCAAGAAAATAAAAGAGCTTGGATTAGTTACATTTTCCTAGCAAACATGATAGCGGAGCTCGCAGAGCGTAACCCCATAATTTAAATTGTACAAAATAGTAGTAACCCATCAAGCCGAAAAAATTTGGATGTACGACCGTGCGACCGTTTCATTTTCACTACATCATATTCCTCTACGCATCTGATTACATACAACTCCAACTACTACTCCATTGCTAGTTAAAACCAGCCTTCAGTCCCTCAGTCTGGGACTAGCAATTGTTATTTCTTTATGAAAGTTTAATAAGTTCTATGTAATGCATCAAAACAAACAAGAGAACAACTACAAATCAATACAGCCAACTTAAAGCGTTTTCAGAAAACTGCAGTTCACTGATATTTTCTTTGCTTTGAGTTACAAAGGTGCTAAACAGTAGGAAACCTCTGGCTTTCAAACTTTAAGGCAATATCCAAGCTTTAATTGAAATTATTCTCTGGGGAATGAATTTTTGGGAGCTGTAACATCGCCAGGTGTACAGTTGCTTATGGCATGGAAGCTTTCTCATCATCATCAGGAATATATATTAGCACAATGTTGTGAGGGAGACCATAAGGTGGAATTGATTGAAAGCCAGTAATGAACTGCAGCAGACATATGAGTTTCTCCTCACCAGCATTACATAATCCATGAACCAGTCATAGGAGTGTAGCTGGGCAAAGTCAGAGGGCCTTTGTACACTGGCATCAAAGAGATTATTAAATTCATCAGGAGTGAGGGTTTGCTCAATAGAATTACAAAGCAGCTTAAAGCAGACTTCCTTGTTGTTCTTTGTGGCATCTAGGAACTCCAAATTCTTGAGACCTTCAGCGAATGAGTCTATCTCAAACTTCCTGAACGAAATTATTTCAGTCACCAGTAGGTTTTGTACAAGATGTGCCACATTCTTATCTGTTATCTTCTTTGTTATTGGCCAGTGAGAGGCATTTATTGCTGACCAGAAGGACTCAGAGGAAGGATGGTTGTGAAGGACTTTAGAAACATCTCCCTCCTGCAACTTATCCAGCAATTCATGCAAAAGAGCAGTTTCTTCAATTAAGGAGAAAAAAAAAATTAAAACCTATCAGAAATGTTCCATTGTCACTTTATATGCCATATGGATTAACCTTTAACTCCCAAGATCTCATTAGTAATTCTCCTTACTGTCTGCCATATAGTTCTTGTGATGCTAGTTTGGAGAATTTGGTATAGGACCACATAATAATCCCCTAATTAAGATTTTTCTTTATTCTCGTCACTTGTCTGTTTGATACTGTATTGATATTGTAAGGAGAAATTCTGTCTTGGTCACTCATGGGAGCTAAAGGGTTAAGAGAGGAAATAATTCACTTGCCCTTTGATTCTGTTAGTGACTCAAAGCTCTATTAGGAAATGACCATTATTTTTGAGAAAGGGTGGGGGGAGGTTGGGCAATTTTTTTGTTGTTGTGGTAATTGCCCAACCCTCCGCTCAAAAAAATATAGTCCATCCCTAAGCCCTGTTTCTAACAAGCTCCTTGTTTGGAAGTATAATTTTTTAATAACCCCTCTCTCTATAAACCTGCCTCTTCCCTATACGAAGTGTACAAAACTAACTACATTCCAATGTTTTTGTGACCATAAATGTAACAAAAACTGTAAGTACACTAAAGTACATGCATGTACCTCTGAACAACAATTTCTATCTGGTGTTTGGGGGAATCTAGAAGCATTTCAGACAGTTGATCCACCCACAACCTTGTTTCTGTCTGTGTAACATATCTGAGAGGAGAAATCTGTCACTCCTGGGCTGCTTTTCCCCCTGTTTTTCGCAGAGATTTAGGTAAGAAACCTCAGGAGGGGTGATGGCGTTATTAACGATAACATATCAACATTTTCTCATCCTCAACCACAGTCACACTATCAAATACATCCTTCTCTCCAGCTGTGTGACCAAAGTTTCACCATTTTTCAACATGCATTGGCATTTGAACTTCTAAATTTTAAAATAACAACTGAAAAAATTATGAAAAAACTAAGAGGGTTTTTCATACTTTTGTGCTCTTTTGTCTTTGAGACTTTTCTTCAGTCAGTCCTTGTTGCTGCAAAAAAAAAAAAAGATATATATATATGTAGATATGTATATTTTATGATCATTTAAAGAAGAGTCTACTTCCAGCTGCTCAACCAACAGAATCACAAGGCAGTGATAAAAATGCAAAACCCACTGGTAATTGACATGCACAGGTCAAACTTCCATCAAATGATCTACATTGGACGCCCTCTATGCGTAACTAGAGTATATATACACTGGAAAACGGAATCTAGTTATTCATCTATTTTCATAACTTTTCTGGCTTTCTACATCCACTTTCTAATAGCAAACTATTCTTAATAAATTAAAACATGAGGTTTCCATCCTCCATGGTTCAGTGCAATATATGGATTTTTACCTGTAACTTTGGAAGACATCAGATTCTGCACTTCCTATAAACAGACAACAAAAATATTATTAGGTCAAAAAAAGTAACATGATAGTGGCATACTGCCATAGATCTGAAATAACACTGCACATCATTCATGTAGATTTGGACATCAAGAATACCGACAATAAATTCATGTTGATGAATCCTCACTATAAATTTATAAAAATGTTTTCTTCCCCTTTTTTCCATAATACTAAAGATGCGAGTTTTTTTGCAGGATATGACTAAAGTAAAAGGGAAGAGAGGAGAGAACAGGAAACATCTTATATGGCTGACTACAATAACAAAAAATACCTCTTGTTTCTCTTAAGCATCACTCACTATTATTGCATCTGAGAAAGTTCAAAAGCTTCTTTAAATGCATTCTTTTTGATAGTTTTTTACTCCAAATAAATCACTGTCTAGAAGACACATAAAAAATTGAACTTTGACACAGTTGAAGATAGATTTTCATGTAGTCTCGTGTTGGTTACTACTTGGAATCTCACGACAAGTTCAGAGTCTTTATTTTATTAATTCTTGGAAATGGTTTTTGAAGGATACTCATCCTGTAAAAACAAGGATCCAGAAATGTCAATTTAGGTTGATACTAAAGGGTGTTCAATGTAGTATTACTACTTTTAACCTACCAATTGGCTTAGGAACAGCAAGAACTTGACTTCAATCAAATAGCAGATTATTCAGGGACCACACAACTGGATGAGTGGGCTGAGATAACTACCAAAGCACATGTGTCATGTCGCATGGCAAGACGGCTGATAACAAACATATTGAGATTGGAATAAATAGACCACCCCACTTTAACGTACCTGTATACAGAAACATCCTTATGGCTTATCCTTAACTGTTTGTCAGAAAATAATTGATACCATTATTGTGCAATTGAAGCCAAAGCCTAAACCTAAGCATATGTAACCATGCCATAAATAGAAAAAATAAAGCAAATATAACCATAACAGTGCTTTCAATAACATTCGAGGAAGGGGGTTACCTCAGTAAAGCACCTGTGTGAGAATAGTAAGAAAAACAATTTCCCTCTCGTTATCCCATTACTTCCATTACTTCCATTCAGAATAAACTCACTCTAAAAAGAGTTTTCAGTGCTGAGTCCAGCATACACCTCACTTGTTATAAGGCCTGGCACCTCTGATGCTAAAAAAACAGCTGGCAACAACTTTGTATGATTTGCAGAAACAGTTTAGTTTTAGTTTCATTGAAATAATTACCATTGAATTTTTAGACTGAACATTTTCCTAGGTTGACATTTGCCATTTGAAACTCATTTTTCTTGGAGACAACTGTACATTTTCACGCCCAAAATTGAAGAAGACCTCATAATTTCTAAATAAAAAGGGTAAATGGTCACATAAAAATGAAACATTCCTTTTCCACTAATAACAGTAAACTATTCACGATTTCTGTATTCCCTCTGGTGAACTCTTTAATAAAAGAAGACCATAACTTTTGACCTTATTACCAGCACTGTAAACACAATGATTTACTCACCCTGGCCAAGTTTTCAGTGGTTCATAAAGTATTTACAGGGTAGGTTCATAGTAACCCTAAAGAAACTGAATATCTATAATGTTGCACAACTTTTCACAAATGTCTTTGAGGTTGATGGTGTAACTTGGTAACATGGGAGATCGATCACCACTAAAACAGAACATAACGAAAACAAAAATTTTGCAGGTCAGAATTTTAGTAGATTCTCCTCAATCTACAGAAATCAGTTCCCACAGAGAAGTACATGAAACACAACACCACCTTCAATGGCAAAAATTAGTTCCCAGCAGAAATTTCAGACATCCTGACCCCTAAAAAGTGTCTCCACAAAACACAAACAATTCCTAATTGCCAATTTGATGATAAACCCCTTAAAAAAAACTCTGATATTAGACCATACACAATCGCCATTGCTCATAAGGTACAAATTTAATCAAATAAACATGTACCCTGTAATAACTGTGAAAGCTAAATCAAGAAGAAACTCAATCTATGGCTTCAAAAGTGTGGCCATCACTTAAACTTGTTTACCTCACCACTGCATATTTTGTGTCTCAAGAAATGATTGCAAAATTAACAAGTGAGAAACTGTTCCGAACTGAAAGTTATTACTTTTGATGTTAGTTTTTTGCCCTGCAATGGGGTCATCATTGAAAGAGAACTTGGAACGATTAATGTTATGCTTACCGATTGCACATTGTTGTTGTTTTTTATTTCTTGTTGCCAAAAGTTGTTGATTTTCAGGGACATCATCACATTGCTTACCTGGCAATGACCAAAATTTAATTATACTTTACAGATCTATACACCCATTGACATGTCTTCAGAGCAAGTTCTGTGATGCTTTTTGGGTATATTGATACAAAAATCAGGTCATTTATGCACATATATCATACCTTGCTGTAAAAGTTCCTTCCTGCTCATGTTCCTCTAATGCTCCTTCTTGTCTAAACAGTAAAACCACAATATGTGTGCCATAGATAAGCATCAGTGCACAGTGTTGATCTGGATCCACACACCACAGGAGGCCGAAATACTCTTGACTACAACTCTGTAGTGTGATACAAGTAATAAAAAATGACTGTAAAATTGGGAAAGAACCATCCATCATAAATTATTATTGATCATGTGAATATAAATTCACATTGCCATTTACAGAGGAGGAATATCAGGAATGGTTAACATACACAACGTCATAAGCTCCAGCCATATGAGTCTCTTGGCTCTAGTACACACTTTACTTAACAATAGCTTTTATTTGAATTATAACCATTCTTGCTATGAAGACAACATTTTGTGATGAATTTAAAATTTTGGCTAACATTGTAGAGGTTTTACCAAAAAATTCTACTATCTTGCTTATTTTGTTGTCTTCAAAGAAATGCAAACTTTTTGTCTTCTGATCATGAGTGCCTGGATCATAATCCACCACAGCAAACTGCACACATAATAAAATGACACTTATCAAGGAACACTTCAAAGAATCCAAATTTAAACATTTGGACATCGTGTTAGATATCAAGGCTAATGTGTTCACCTTGACTTAAATTTTTCTTTTTCTTCTCAGTCTACTAAAATCAATGGCAGAGAAGTAAAAGTGGAACAAACAATGACATAAAATGGAAAATCTTTCTCATCTGATACATTTCATTTAAAGTGCTTCATGAGTAATGTAATTTAATACAGGTCTTGTTAATATCTTAGGATTTAATGGGTGACAATTGAATCTTTTGGAAATATTAGTTTATTGTTACATGCATATTAAGGTTTCTCTTGCCAATTAATTAAATTCTCAGTGGCTGATTACAAATCAATTAGTTATTAATTTATTTAAAAGAACATTTTATCAAAATTAATGTTGACCCTTATATAAACTTAAGGTCCACTACATGTTGTAAATAACATTCTAAATTGTAGAACATTTCTCCTTTAAATATGAATTGTTCATTATTCAAAAGTGACAGAATCTATGTTAACCCTTTAACTCCCAAGATCTCATTATTAATTCTCCTTACTGTCTGCCAAATGATTCTCATTGGGTTAGTTTGAAGAATTTGGTACTGGATCAATTAGTAATCCCATCATTGATATTTTTCTTTAATCTCATCACTTGTCTGCATGGTATTGTATTGATATAGTAAGAAGATATTCTGTCTTGGTCACCCACAGAGGTTATTAGGGTTAATCAACTCAAAAGGCTTATTCTTCATTTGTGTAAACCCCCACAAAAAAAACAGTCATTGATTTTATTTAATACAAACTCAATATGAAATGAAACTTACGAAAGCTTGTTACAAGTACATCTCACACTTGATAACCCAAATAAATACTGACACCTTAAGTAAATACTGACCTCCTGTCTTGTCTGATGATGCTGATTCTGTTGAATTATGCTAAAATGAAGACAGCATACATAAAAAAAGTTCAATAACAATTAATTGCCAAAGGCTATATGAACATTACCAAATAGTTAAACAGAAGGTAGAGACCCAAGGCATTAATACCAAGGCATATAAATAAAGCGTGAGAAAACAGCCATTTCATTTACCAACGATAGTCAATTCCCTTTGCCAGCCCCTCAGCCGCCATGTTGTTTGTTTACCTCAAATCATTTTGTTTTGAAATTTGATATACGTATTTTGATTTGACCTCCTAAACAATATATCCTTTTCTGGGTACCAACTAGACAGCCTGAGAAGACCTTTAACCACTAGGTAAAAAAAAGACGTCGGAAATAGTTTAACTGCCAAGGGAATTTCGCTTTCAAATAATAGTGCATTTATGTCTACACCTGATATCGAGCGAGATATTTTCAATAGTACAACAACTGAAGTCCCCATTAAACGATTCACGGAGCCCGTCTCCTACCTCGCCTTGGGTATAAAACTCGCTGATACGAAGCTGTGATGTTCCCGCCACAACACGATTTTTTTTTAGCTGGCGAAAAAGAATCTACAGTACACGCAGTGTTCGATTCCTGTCGGAGGGTGTGTTTGTTTATAAATCGTATGCATCCTTTGCAAAATAATAATAATAAAAAAAAGAATCTCCTGCAAATAACTGAAAGCTAAAGCAGGAAAAAGGTAACCGAAGAGGTTCGGTAACAAAAAGGCATGAAATGGAATGCCATATTCCTCCCGTTTGTGAGAAGAAATCTACCAGGCCTTCTGCTTTGACACCAGGCCTCTTTGGGAGATTCCACCACTGAGCGTCATTTCCATGGAAACGATTTTTGGTGGATATAGTTCTCAGTCTTGAAGGAAATGCTCACCGACAGCAACAAAGTAGTCGGAGACTAAAAAAAGAAAAAGAAGAGGTCCTGAATATAGAATCTTGGTGCACCGTCGAACTGACTCCAAGCAAGACTGACTGCGGACTTTAAAAACGTAATTAGAATCAAGAATATCAAATTGTTTATTTCGAGCGCTGGGAAAGAAAGCCAACCGACACGTGTTCGTTTTTCATCTGACAAACAAACAA